GAGGCCGGGGGAGTCGAGCTGGGACACACAGAGCCATGCTGGGGACCGTCCTGCTGCTGCTGGCCCTGGCCAAGCCGGCATGCCCGAGCCCGGCGGGCGTGGCGAGCCGGCGAGCTGAGGCGCTGAAAAGGCTGCTGGAAGTCTTCGGCATGGAAGACCCTCCGCCCCCCCCGGCTCACTTCAAGAAGCCACCCCAGTACATGGTGGATCTATTCAACACCGTGGCCAACGCGGACGGTGTCACCAAGAACCCCGACATCCTGGAGGGCAACACCGTTCGCAGCTTCCTGGATAGAAGTAAGGGGTGGGGGGGTCCCTGCGGTGCTGGGATGGGGCTGCAGGGAGGGGCTGAGCATGGCTGGTGGAGGTGCTGCCCCAGGTTTCACTCCCCTTCTCATCTCGTCCTTCCCTCCAGCTCACAGCAAGGAGATGCAGTTCCTGTTCGTCCTCTCCAGCGTGGCCAAGAACGAGAAGATCCTGACGGCAGAGCTGCACCTCTTCCGCCTCTGGCCGAGGGTCACAGATGGACCCAAAAGGCACCACTTCTGCCAGGTGAGGAGGGCGGTGGGGCGGGGATGGGGCTGTCCCCCAGCCTGTGCCCAAGGATGCCACTGGCACACTGTGGTCATTCGCCCGCAGTGGGAGCACAGCCCAGCTCTGGGATCACATGAGCAAATGTTTCACAGAGTATCACAATGATTTAACCATGGTGGGCTCTTAAATGTCCTTCTGGTACGTGCAAACATCAGCAAAGGCACCTGAAGGCTGTGACAGATCCATACTGGCAGTTCCCCATCTCTGCTCACGCCTCTGTCCGTGGTCATCCCCTCAGGCAGGACCTTTTTCCTCCCCCAGGTCAGCGTCTACCAGGTGCTGGAGAAGGAAAACCCAGACACCCCTGGAGGGAAGAAGCTGCTGGCAGCTCGTCTCGTCTCACTGCAGACCTCGGGCTGGGAGGTCTTTGCCATCACGCCGGCTGTGAGTTACTTTCCCCCTGTTTAGGGCAGCCCAGAGAGAACACCAGGGGTTTACATGCAGGAGCTTTTTTAACCCATTTCACCCCCAGCAGCCTTTTGGGCTCCAGTGCAGTTTCCTGTCTGCAGTCTCTGCAGTGACATGGGAGGGACACATCCTCTGGGAGGGGAAGGCAAGAGTCCTGCCAAGTGCCCTGGGGGCTGCTCCATCCTGCCCCAAACTGGTCCTACTGTTCCTCAGGGAGTGCCAGTGCTGGCTCCTGCCACAATGTCCCCTGCGTGGCAGCCCTGGAGCAGCCTCTTCCCATGGCACACAGTGTGTGGCCTCGGGGGGTCCTGGTTCACCCCCCCCTCCAGCCTGGCCCCTGCCATGGGGACACCAGCACCGTCCCAGCCCACGGCCCTGCGGTGACACCAGTTTGGCTCCCCAGGTTCGTGACTGGACCGAAGACGAAAGCAGCAACCAGGGTTTGCTGGTGACAGTCCAGAGTCTGGGGGGGAGCCCGCTCGACCCCCCACCACTGCAGTTTGCCTCTGGCCGGGACCACCACGAGAGCAAGAGGCCTCTGTTGGTGCTGTTCACAGATGATGGGCGCCGGGGAGCGTCGCTGCCCACGGGTGGCTTCCCAGGTGAGTCCCACGTGCCCTGGCACGGCTCCCTCGGTGCCACCATCCCTTTCCTGGGGTGCTGCCCACACGTGGGCTCCTCAAATCCGAAGCTCTTTGCTCGGCCAGAGGCAGAGGCTCTCTCCTTTCTAGGTTAGCCTGCGCAGGGATTCTGCCTGCTTGCAGATGTGAAGCTGAATTTGGGTGTGGCTGTGAGACTGGGGCTGTCACCTCCTGATGGCTCTGCCTGGGCTGGTGACCGGCTGTGACCAGAGGGCTGCAGACAAGACCCACAGGGAGGGGTGGCCTGGGGGGCTGCAACACCTTTTCTCTTTACCTGGGCTCATGCAGTGGCTAATGGCATTGGATGCTCCTTTCTGGCAGATTTAAAGCCTCAGGCCCCCGATCTCCCCGCCAAGGTGCCGGTGCCCAAACCAGCCGGGTCGCGCAGCACGCGCTCGCTGGACCGGCTCCGGCCCTGCCAGAGGCATCCCTTGTCCGTGGACTTCGAGGAGATCGGCTGGTCGGGCTGGATCATCTCCCCCCGGGGGTACAACGCCTTCCACTGCAAGGGCTCCTGCCCCTTCCCGCTGGGCGAGAACATGCGGCCGACGAACCACGCCACGGTGCAGTCCATCATCAACGCCCTGAAGCTGAGCGAGGGCGTCAGCAGCCCCTGCTGCGTGCCCGACAAACTCCACTCCATCAACCTCCTCTACTTCGATGACGACGAGAACGTGGTGCTCAAGCAGTACGACGACATGGTGGCCGGGAGCTGCGGCTGCCACTGAGGCGGGAGGAGCAGGGAGGTGGAAATGCTGGCACAGCAGAGGCTGCTCTGCTCCCTCCAGAGCGTCAGTGTGGGGCCTTTGTCCCACAAACCCTCTAAAAGAATCCAGGGTGAGCAGAGCAAAGGGGGTGCTGGCTCTGCCCTGGGTGGTGTCACCCCCTGGCAGTGCCCGGGAAGGCTCAGGGCCAAGCTCTGATTAAATCAATCTGGATGAGCCTGTGTGACTTGGCAGCCCCGGGGCAACAGCTCCATTTCGGGGTGTCCTGCGTGGGGGTGTGGGTGTCCCTGCCCGTGCAGAGGCTCCTGCAGGCTGTACTATATGTATATAGCAAGAGCACTAATATATGACAGAAACTGCCTGTACAGTGTCCTGTAAATGTCTGTACATTCCCACCTTGCTGTGACTTGTGAAATGAATTCAGAGGAACTATTAAAAGTGCCATTCTCTGAGGGCTGCCTGTGGACTCTGAACTGCTGCTGGGGACGGGGCTGGCCATGGACAAGCAGACACCACATGGGCATGGGATGGGGGGTGCATGAGGAGGGGCTGCATGCAGATGGATGAAGATTCAGCCACAGCCCAGTCTCCAGGGACAAGGGGTGGAGGTTGGTGCACCCTATTCCTTAAAAGCTGAATGATCTCAGGGTCCATCAGCCAGCCTGCAGTGGGGGGTGCAGGGAGGGGGCACCCCCCCTGAGCAGGCAGTGGGGGTGTGGGGGGGGAATGTGGTGACAGAGTCTGGGATTGGGGTGGGAGGTGATGCAGAGGTGTCTGGAGGTGATGCTGCTGGGGCAGATGAGAGGTGGGTGTCATGGTTTAACTCCAGAGGGCAACTAATCACCACACAGCCACTGGCCTCCACCCCCACTGTGGTGGGACGGGGAGGAGAATCAGAAAAAAAGGGTAAAACCTGTGGGTTGAGATAAGGACAGTTTAACAAGGGAAATAAAATAAAATAATATATAATAATATTTGTTATGAAAAAGGAGACACCAAAAAGGGAGAGAGAAATAAAACCCAAGTAAAACAAGTGATGCTCAGTACAGCGATTGGCCCCAGCAGTGATTGGCCCCTCCTGGGCAGCTCCCCCAGTTTATACACTGGGCAGAACTTTCTGTGGCATGGAATATCCACTGGCCACTTTGGGTCAGCTGTCCCAGCTGTGCTCCCCCCAGCTTCTTGTGCAGCTCCTCACTGACAGAGCATGAGGCACTGAAAAGTCCTTGACTTGGGGTGAGCACAAATGAGCCACAACCAAAACATCAGTGTGTGATCGACATTATTCCCATCCTGAATCCAAAATATGGTGTTGTACCAGCCACTGGAAAGAAAATTAACTCCATTGAAGTTGAAATGAGGACAGGGGGGAAGGGTGGCTCTGGGGGAAGATGGCCAGAGGAGATTGTTGGGCCCAGAAAGAAGGTTCCTCATGGAAGAGAAATGGGGTGGAAACCAGAGCTGACCAACATTGTGGGGTCAGGTCAGTGCTGGGGAGGTGTACAGAGGGTGGGTGTCAATGTGGGTTCTGGGGAGCAGGTGTAGGTGTTGGCAGACAGGGCAGGGGTCCTCTCACACCCCCTGGCACAGCCCCCTTGTCCCCTGCAGTCCAGGGCTCAGTGGGAGCATGGCTGTCCCTGCCAGACCACTCAGCCCCTCCAAGCCTCTTTCCAAGCTTAGCCATGGTTCCCCAGCACCTCTTCATCTCCAAGCCCAGCCTGCAAGTGACTGAATCCCACACTGGCCTGGCCAGCACCAGTTTCCTCCCCCTGCCCACCTGGAAGCAGCACCAGCAGCTTTGGCCCTTTCCCACCCCAGCCCTCCCTCAGCCCAGGGTCCCTCTCCCCATCCCACCCAGGGGAAGGGTGCATCCATTCAGGAGGCCCTTTGACTAGACATGATCCCACATTGGAGGGCAAATCCTTCCCCTGTGTCCCCCAGATGTGTCCCCCACTGCCCCCCGATGATGTGAGCACAGGGCAGAGCCCACTGCTGTGTCCTGAGCATATGCACATCTCAGCTCCTCTTCCAGTGCACCCAAACCCAGGCAGCTCATCCCAAACCCCACATGTGGACAGGCTCACCTGCATCCCTGAGAGCCCTGTCCTCACGTCGATGGGCAGGAGAGATGCTGTGAGCCTCGGGGAGATGTCCCCTCCTCACCCAAAAGATGAACAGTTTACTGAATCATACAGAGTGGCTGGCCAAAAATCCACAACAATGAAGGGTTTGGGCCTGGTTTATTAAATGCCTGTTCCTGGGCTACAAGGTCTGCACCCCCACAGGTCCCATCACAGCAGCATCCCGAGGAAGGACTGTGCCCCCAGGCTCCATGGCAGTGGGAAGGAGAGTGGGTTTGTCTGGAAGTGTGCATGGCTGCAGCCTTTCCTGCAGACCTTCACCCAAATCTCCAAGCTAGACTTGGCCTGGACTGCTCATCTGCTCGGCTGGAAGGGAGTCACAGAGCCCTGGGCAGGGGGAGCCTGTGCACGTTCCACTCAAGAGGGAGAAGAGCAGCACCTGGGCGGGTGTCACAGTGGGCCACCACCCTCAGACAGGTGACAGTTCAGCCCCACACATCCTGCTGCTCACTCCCTGGGATTCCAGGGTGCCCCACACCTCGGCCCATGCAGACAGACACACAGACACCCTGCCCTGAGACAGCTCCTCAGGCAGCTCTGACGGCTCTGCAGGACAGTGGCCAGCACACAGCAGGGAGGGGGGCCCAGCTGGCAGTGGCCCCTGTGCAACAGCAGAGCCCTGCACGCTGCTGTGACTCACTGCCCATGGTTCAGAGCCTCCCTGGAGGACAGGACGTGCTGGTCAGGACAGAGGGCAGGGGGTGTCCGGGGGTGGGGGGCCTGTGGTCAGCGGTGATAGCGGGGGTCGGCTCTCCAGCACTCCGACAGCTTCCGCAGGACTCGCTCCTTCAGGTGGACCCTCCTGGAGAGCTGCTGTGACTGGCTTAGCTCATGAGCCTTCAGCTTGGCATAGTAGTCAGAAAACTTGTTGTAGAGGATGGAGATGGGCATGCCATTGAGGATGATGCCAAAGGAGATGCAGACAAATGCCACCATCCTGCCGAGTATTGTGTCAGGCACGGTGTCTCCATAGCCCACGGTGGAGAGGCTGACCTGTGTGAGGATGGGAAAAGATAAAATCCCACGGGGAACAAGCCCAGCAGACCCCGCCAGATGGTGCTGAGACTCAGCCGCCCGCCCCTCTGTGGGAGCCAGGTGTCACCTGGAGCAGTGTTACACAGTGACAGCAGCCAGCTCAGCTGTCCCCACTCCTGCAGCCTCCACGGCCAGGGCTCTGCGCCCGGGAGGCCTGGAGAGCACAAGGGTGGAGTGCTGCTGGCTGAGCCCCAGAGCAGAGATCAGAGGTCAGACCTCTCTCTGCTCCATCCCTGCTTCACATGTGTGTCTTCAGGCCAGCTGGACACCCCGAGCTGAGCCCTCCCCAGCAGTCAGTGTCTGCTGCAGCTTCCTGCCCCCGCGGAGCTGCGGCTCCAGCGCTTCCCGCCCGGGAACTGCCCAGTCCCGCGGGAACAAGTCTTCCTGGAGCCTCCATCCAAGGGAAGCAGGCACTGCCCAGAAATGCACCACGTTTGGTGACCAGGGAGTAGGGCTGTGGGGACAAGGTGACAGCTGAGGCAGAGAGGTTTGGGCTTTGCAGGGAGCTGTGCTCCCAGGGACAGGCTCGGCCTGGGACATTGAAAGGCTCGAACCTGGTGATGCTGCTGAGTGATTTTGCCCTTCCTTGAGGAGGGATGAATTTGAAGCAGGCAATCTGTGGTGGCCAAGGGGGCAGAAGTGATCCATGGGATCATTTAATCTGTAAATCAAAATGCCCTTGTAACCCCTGGGTTTTAAGTGCTTTAGATACTCCCCATTTCAGAGTCAATCCCAGGTTTATTATAGTGCTCAGCTCAGCTGAGCTGCTGGCTCCTGGCACAAGCAGGGCAACAAACAGGGGCAGCACACCCCAGGCTGTGTCCTCTCTCAGGACACAGACTGAGGCACAATGTGACCATGGGTCCCACATGCAGCCCTGGGTCCCCCATCTCAGCCCCACAAGCTCTGACCCCCTTGTGCCTCCCGAGCCCAGCTGGGCTGTGATGCTGCACAAGCCTCAGGCTGCCCTGAGTGGGTGCCCCCATACCCATGGGGGCTGAACCACATCCACCCCACACTTGGGTCCCATGACAGATAAAGCCTGGGCTGAGTCACATCCCCCTTGTCACTAACTCAGGCCTGGAGGTTCCTAGGCCACCACCTCTGTCCCACCATCCCACCCCAGCCCTAGCTTTTGAGCCTCTGAGCTCGGTCCCAACCTCTGATTTCTTTTCTCAAGGCACGCAGGGCTCTGGGTTTCCCACCGTTACTGGGCTGGTAGGAGGGCTGGGCCCCTCCTGCCCCCTGGCCTGCAGCAGTGGTGAATCCCCCGAGCAGCAGGGCAGCCCCTACCCACGGAGCCCCCCGCCCCCCTCTCTGGAAGGAGCTGTGCAAACCTTACCGCTGCCCACCACCACGCACAGGGGATACTGGTGAAGTCAGTGCCGGGGACATCGTGTTCCACCGAGTGTATGAGGGCGGAGAAGGTGAAGACACCCATGGCAATGAAGAGGAGGAGGCAGCAAACCTGCTGGTAGCACTGGCGCATGGTGAAGCTGAAGGCCCGGAGGCCGGTGGAGTGGCGCGCCAGCTTGAGGATGCGGAAGATCCTCATGAGCTTGATGAGCTTGAGGACCTTGCCCAGCTTGCTCACATTCTCCACCTTGTGCAACTCCTCGTGGTAAAGCGTGTCTGCTTCGTCCAGATTTTCAAAGAGGAGCTGGACGTAGAAGGGCAGGATGGCCACCAGGTCTATGGCATTAAACGCTGCCCGCAGAAAGATCTTGAAGCTGGAGGAGGATATGAGCCGCATGAGGTACTCAGAGGTGAAGAAGATGGCACAGATCATCTCCATCTGCTCCATCCACATCTTCCCTGTTTTGTTTTTCATCTCCTCCACTGTGCTCAGTGTCATGCCCACAATGGAGATAAGCACAAAGAAGCTCGACATGACAGCAATGATCTTGGCTGGGACAGAAGAGTACGGGTTCTCAATGAGGTTCCAGATCATCTTCCGAAACCCACCCAGAAATTTGCCATCAAACTTATTCCCCGAGTCCAGGGGCTCCAGTTCTGCCTCCAGCTCCTTCTCTATTTTCAGGTACTCATTGAGTTCATCTTGCTTTTCCTCGAACAGGATCCGGCAGCAGCGTTGGGAGTATTTCAGATGGATCCCCCAGTACTCGATTTCCTCCACAAAGTTACTGGGGCACATCTCATCCATCACCCACAGGACCCCACTGCGGTAGAAGTGGAAGATGTAGTGGAAGACTGAAGGATCTCTGTCAAAGAAGTACTCGTTCTTCTGCACCAAGTAGTCATCGCAGAGCTGCATCTTCTTCGCGGGGTCCGTATAGAGGGCCAGCTTCCCAAGCCTCGTGATGGGATACTGGGCCAGTACCTTGCAAGCTATCTGGAACGACTTGCCACCCACGTTGATGTTGAGCAGGTACTTGTTCCTTTGGATGGGAGTCTCGCTCTCCTCGTTTCCCTCTGCCACGTTCTGCATGGAGCTCCATTGTTTTACCAGGCTGTCCTGCGCGAAGGGGATGTGCACTGCCTCCTCCTCCAGGGTCCGGCGGCGGCCCTGGTGATCCCCTATCTTCAGGCTGGCCGAGAGACTCGCCCGCCTGGTCCCCAGCTGCCTCATGGTGCCTGGCCCTCGGGAGCCGTGACTCCTGTTAGGGGCCGGGGGACAGCAGCCCTGGCTTCATGGGAACGCTCCCGCTGGGCACACGCTGGCTGGGATGAGTGCTGCGAGCTCGGAGGAGCCGTGGAGCGGCTGCCCGGGGGGCACTGCCGTGTCCTGGTGCCACGTGGCACCTGCCAGGGTCCCAAAGCCGATTGCTGATCAGATTGTGGTTCGCGTCGCGGGAGTCGGAGGCGGCCAAGCGCCCGCTCCTTAAGACACTAATGAGATTGAGGCACTAGTCCTTTATGTAAGGAACTATTTCCAGACCTGCACTTCTCTCTTCCCTTATTCTGTTCCTATTAGCTGTTTGCATTTGCCACACGCTACCTGTTTCCTAGAAGGACATCTGTGATAGCAAGCTGGAAAGAGCACGATCTTGCCTCAGTTTACCCCTGCCAGCCCTGCCCTGGTGGGACAGGAAGGTGCAGACATGCAGGATTTGTAGAGGCTTTGTACCCCCACACCAGATGCTGCTCTTGGCACTGGCCCTTCGTTAAGCACTAATGCAGTTGCCCCGGCTCTGTCAGCTGTCACAGCCAGAGAAGGGAGATGGTCGTGACCTCCCAGCTCATCCCTCAAGCCCCACAGTGCAGATTTACAGGGGATGAGGTGAAGGAACCACTTCAGTCTCCACGCAGTGCCCGAGCAGATCTCCTGTGGGACAGGTTGCTCCTGTGGCCCTGCCCTGTGCCATCACATCAGCCTTCAGCCCCACCAGTCCCACAAGCAGGGGCAGAACAGGGAACAGGACACTGAAAATGCAAGTAGGCAGTAAAAGTTCCCCTGAACTATTGGAACTGAAAAGGAGGAAATAATCCTTTGGATTTCCAAGTAAAAGGGGAACCAATATTAAATAGGCTTATCTTTGAGGCCTTACCTTGGAACATGACCTTGCTTCAACATGTAAAACTGATCACACTGATCTCTATGAACTGGTCTAATTAAATACAGAGACCTGGAGCACAAAGCTGCTCCTGGCCCAAAACCAGCTCAGGCTCCACTACAATTGAAGTTTCTGAGCCCTGGGATTAGGACAACAAAAATACTTCTGGCATCAGACAGAGGAAGGGAAATTGCTGTCACAAAACATAGATCTTGTTTTGGCACAAGATCCAGAAAATATGTTTCTTTCAACCCTGAAGCACTTGGCTCAGGGAGCAGTAAACTAAACCTGCAAGGTCTTGTGAGTTTGCCTCCGGGCCTCGCTCCTCATTGAACAGAGCGAGGGCTCTGCCCCACACCACAGACCAGCCAGGCTCAGCCTGGGCTCAGCTCGGCAGCTGGAGCTCAGAGGATGATCTGGGACCGGCTGGTGACAGCTGACTTTGGCCACCTGACCCCGACAGCACCAGCACTTCTACAGCCCCCAGCTCAGCCCTGTCCTGCTGGGACTCCTGGAGCCCCTCCCGTTCTACAGGACTCCCCACTCTGTGCACTGCTCTGACAAAGAAGGGACAAGTTCAGGCAGTTTTTTCACCTTGTTCTAGGCTGAACTCCCCACTTGTCCCCTGTTTGGCAACAGCACTCCTAGTGCCAGTGCCATCTGTTCCTCCTGTCCCCACCCTCTCCATTCACTCTGCTCCCTGTATTTCACTCTTCTGCTACAGCTGGTGTGTGCTGGAGTCATGTCCATCCCAGGCAGGCACAGCAGCACTTGCTCCCCCTTACTGGCCGTGCCAGCCCACCCACCACGAATCCTCTTTCCCAGGATGTGACAATCCAGTGGTGATGCAGCCCTTGAACTCCCAACTACAGAATTTAAGCAAATGCACAAGTCCAGGAAAATTAAAGACTCCAGAAGTCATTAGTTTCACATTCTTTATTCTCCTGTGTCAGTTACAACAGCTATTCCCACCTGTCCCTATGGAAACAGAAGCAAGGTTGTGCGCCCTTGCAAATAACTCCTTGGTACTAAAAATAGCAGCCCTGGAATAACTCAGGACTCCACATTTAGAAGTTTCTCCCATGGGGTATGGCAGCACTCACACGCTATCCAGGAGTGGAAGATCCCTGCTCCAAGGCTGATGACTGGAGTCTGCTTGGCAAGACAAGTTCCCACCCTCAAGGCACACAGGTCAGCAGCCAAGGCAGCAGCTTTGTGCACTTAGTGAACATTTGTGCAAGGTGCACGTGGCCCAAGGGCACCAGGCACTAATCTGCCCCTGCACAGCCAGTTCCAAGGCACACAGCACTGAGCCCTTTGGCTGGAGCTCCATGTGCCACACAGTGTCTGACCCAAGACGTGGCTTATTTCAAAGGACACCTTCACTAAAGTGCTCAGAGCCCTGTCTGACTTGGCCCCAGGGATGGGGCAGCCACAGCTGCCCTGGGCAACCTGTGCTGGAGCCTCACCATCCTCACCATAAGACCTTCCTTCCTCTTCTCCCACCTAAACCCAACCTCTGTCAGTTTGTAACTGCTGCCCCCTGCCCTGTCACTACAGACCTTGGTGAAAAGCCTCTCTCCATCTATCTTACAACCCCCCTTTAGACAGGGACAAGACACAACACAGTCTCACGGAGCTGTCTCTTCTCCAGCAGCTGCCCTGATGAAGGTGCAGGACCTTGCACTTGACCTTATCGACCTTCATGAAGTTCCCGTGGGCCTGAGGGTCTCTCTGGATGACATCCCCCTCTCCCAGCCACACCCTGCAGCCTGGTCTCATCCTCACACTGGCTGAGGGTCCCCTTGATCCCACTCTACACACCATTGATGAAGACATGGGATAGCACTGGTCCCAGTACAGACCCCCGAGAGACACCACTCGTGTCAGAACAGTTTTAAGGAAGACACCATTAACAGTGTTAGAGGAGTTACAGTCAGCATTCAGCACTGGGGTGGGCAGAGCAGGTCAGTAAAGAGTGGAGGTGTTTGTGTGAGGGAGTGTGTGAGGAGCTGCCTGCCTGGGGGCCAAGGAGCTCCTGGCCCCACACTGGCCTGGGTGACAGCACAGCAAAGCGAGAGCAAACAGGAAGATTTTAACTGTTACCTTGTGGTAGAACCGTCAGTAAAAGCCACCTGCTGTGGAACTGAGCAGCATCAAACACTAGTGCAAACATGGAATATTTGTCTGGTCTGTGCAGAGTCAGTGAGCTCCTATGGAAACGGGTTAGGAAGCCCCTATTCCCTGACAAAATCCAGGGGGAAGAATGGGGCAGGCGAAAACAGGCTCTTGGCTAGGAGTAGAGGGAAACAGTGAACAGCACCTGGCATTTCACAGAGAAAAACATCTTTGGGTCCTAGGCCACGCTGGTGGGAAACAGCATTAACAACTGGAGCTCAGAACAACAAAACATTCCTACCACCTTTGTGAGGGCTGATTTCACAGTGCCAGGGAAGATCCTGTGCTATTTCCAGAGCCAAAGTAGTCCCACAGTCTAAGACCTATTTCCAAGGGGAGCATCCTCTTCATATTCAGTGTAACAACCCAGATTTGAGAGCTGATGTCCAATTCAGTCAGGCTGTGTGGTGAGCATGAGAGAGACCAGGCTAGTCCCACCTTGTCACCTCAGTGTAAAGATCCCTGTTACCAAAACAGAAAAACACCTGGTTACAGTACTTGGAGCAAAAATCTGTTTTGACTTCAGTTAGTGCAAAGTGAAAGAAAGAAACCCACACCAGAAGATCAGTATCTTAGTATGGGTGCTCCATGTCCTTGGCAGCAGAGGAAAAGGGAGAGTTCTGCTGTGTCAGGGCAGACTGAAACCCCCAGCACCTGGCTGACCAGCAGCAGGAAAGCTGGGAAAAGCTACTCCTGGAGAGGAAAGCTCTAGAGGCCAGAAACACAGGGAAAGAAGGCATTTCTCCCTCAGGCACGCAGAGCTCATGGGTGCAAGACACTTACCCTTCAGGGAAAGGAGCCTGTCTGGCTCTTGTCAGACATAAGCTGTTCCCTGGATGCTTTTTCAAGACTGACGGTGTTAGATCGGCTTTTTGCTTTGAACAGGCCCCACACAGCAACAGAACCTGCAGCTACCAGGATGCTGAGGAGCCCTGGAGAGGAGAATGCACAAGCAGAGACTCACTGACTGCCCTGGTCTGGGCATCAGGACTGGGCCCTGCTGCTCAACACCACGAGCCAACAGCCAGAGATGAGCAGCTTCCCTTGAGGGCAAAGGACAGACAGAGGGGAAGTGAGTTAGTGCCAGATCGCATGGCATGGCCTTTCCAAGGACACAGCACAGCCAAGGCAGAGCAATAATTAAGCTGTGGTGTCAGGCCTCCCTCAGCCCATCCAGCACAGCAAAAGCAGCTACTTATACAGGTCTGGAATTGATTCCATCAAGATACTCAATTTACAGCCCATGGCAGGACCAAGACCACGTGCAGCACTCTGAGTCTCACATACCTGCAACAATCAAGATCCACGTGTAACCTTGACTCCTTGATGGCACAGAGACCCCAGGCTCAGGAGTAGCTGAAGCCTCTGTGAGGAAAGAGAGACAAGTCCATCAGGCTTCTGACTTACCTTACAATCAGCACTCAAAGCAACCTCCAACCCACACCTGTCTGAGTTCCCAGCTCACCTCAAGAGTGCCAAAAGGTCATTTTCAATTTATCTGCCGCTGTGATTAGCCCACATTGGAGGAAAAAAGTCCTACTGGAAACGCTAACAGTGAAAGCTGGGATATTTCCCAGCTGGAGCTGCAGCACCTCGACCTGTCCTCAAGACACTGGGAGGCCACAGGTACAACCAAAACACAGCTCATCTCCCCACCTGCCAGGTGAACTGGTGCAGGCACCAAACCCAAACCCAGTCTGTCACCCCTGCAGTAATGCCCCTCCTCTCCACACTCATGGTGCTGCAGTTCCCGGACACCACGGAAACCCCCGGGTAAGGGAAGCCAGAACAGCACTTCCGAGCACAAAGGACACCCCACGGAGCCGAGCAGCAGGCGCCGGCCGTGCTGGGCGTGCAGACACTGCCCGGACACCGGACGGCCCAGAGCTGCCTCCCTCATCCTCATCCTCATCCTCATCCTCATCCTCTTCCCCTCAGCCTGCCTATTCCCCAGGGATCAGAGGAGCTCGGGAGGCAGACAGACTCCAGTGCCGCCGGCTCGTTGGGAGGGCTGCGTGTTCTGGAAGAAGGAAGCGGGTACTACAAAGGCGCTTCCCGAGGAAGCCCCGGGGGGCGTCAGCGCCGTCCCAACCGGAGGCAGCTGAAGGTGGGGGTCTCCCGCAGCGCTTCCTCCACCCACAGTGACCCGCAGCTGCCCCGGAGAGGCCGGAGACGGCGGGGAACAAAGGCTTCCGTCCGCTCTGCCGCCCCGCGCCCCCCGTACCTGCGCTGCCGGCGGGCGGCCCCGCCGAGCTCCAGGGCAGGGTCAGCGCGGGGCCGCCGGGACTCGGCTCCGCCGGGGTCGCGGTCCCGCAGTCCTGCTCGTCCTCCTCGTCCGCGCAGTCGGGGTGGCCGTCGCAGAGCCAGTCCCGGGGGAAGCAGCGCTCGCCGGGCGCGCACTGGAACTGGTCCGGGGGGCAGCGGGACGGGGCAGCTGCGGGGACGGTGTGAGGGGCTGAGGGGAGCGGGGGGGGCAGGAGGGGGAGCCCCTGCACACACCCCCCTCACGGCCCGCCCGGCGGAGCCCGCGCGCGGGCACCGGCCAATGAGAGCGAAGGGCGTGCGCGGGGAGCCAATGGGCGCCGCCCGCCCGGCCGCTCCCTCGACTCACCGTTCTCCGGCGGGAGCGGCAGCCCCGGCGGCGGCAGCGGCAGCAGCACCGCGAGCACCAGCGCCAGCCCCGGCAGCCCCGGCCCGGCCATGCCGCGGGCCCGCACCGATGGAACGCCGCGCTGCCGCCGCTCGCGCCGCTACAGATGCAGAGCGCGTGCGCTCGGGCCCGGCCTCCACCAACCAATGGGATGCTCGGGGGGGCGGGGCGCGAGGGGTGGGCGGGGCCCTGGCGCGGTGTCACGTGAGCGGGGGCGGAGGGACCCCCGGACAGGCCCGGCTCGGCCCGGGCAGCGCTCCCGGAGCAGCGCTCCCGCCTCGGCTGCACCGGCCTGTTCCAGCACACGGAGCTGCCACTGCCTGGATTAGCCCCCTCCAAGCTCCGGGAACAGCCGCGCTCTCCCGCGGTTCCCTAGAAAACCATCAGCACCGCGGTGGCCCGTGACCTGCTGTCCCCGGGGAGGGGCCGCTCAGCACCCGAGCAGCCTGCGGCCGCCGCAGGACAAGGGGACTGCGGTGGGAGTGCCACAGGCTGCTGAGCTTGTCTCTTCCTTCAGAACCAGAGCACCAGCAGGCCCTGTGGGCAAGGCTGTGCTTTACTCAGCTCTGCTCTTCGCTGACATTTCATCTACGGCTCACAAATCCCCCAAGCCTGTGCTCAAATCCCTGTGCTGTGTCGCTATTCCATCAAGCAAACCTTACATGGGCATTAAAGAGCAGTAACTTGAACAACTCAGAAGAGACAAAAGAGGGAGGGGGTGTAGTCATAGCTTTAAATACATTTATTAGTAAGATATCAGCTCCCTGCAGCACTCCTGAAGCCAAATCCACCACAGCCTCCCCGCTGAAGCTGCTCTGGAAGCACCTGCACCCATCACGCAGTCTTGGCTCGCTCCCTGCTCACAGGTAGGGCTGGTCCTTGGAAATCTCCCACTTCCTAAGAGGTGGTCCTGGTGTCACTGCTTTTTTCTGCGTTGTTGTCACTGCAGAGTCTGAACTGTGGCAGAGGAAGGAAGGGAGAGGAGAGGCTTTAGTAACTCTATGGAAATCACACTCAGGTTTAATCAGTCCAGGTTGGAGTAGTCCTGGAGGGGTCTGTTAGTCACAGTCCTAGAATGGTTTGGATTGGAAGGGACATTGAAGATGTCCATGGGAAGGGACACACTCCACTAGCCCAGGTTGCTCCAAGCCTCGCCCAACCTGGTCCTGGACACTTCCAGGGATGGGCAGCCACAGCTGCTCTGGAAAACCTGTGCCAGGGCCTCCCCACCCTCACAGGGGAGAACTCCTTCCTAATATCCCATCTAATCCTGCCCTCTGGCAGTGGGAAGCCATTCCCCCTTGTCCTGTCCCTCCAGGCCTTGTCCCAAGTCCCTCTCCAGCTCTCCTGGAGCCCCTTTAGGCCCTGGAAGGGGGTCTCAGGTCTCCCCAGAGCCTTTTCTTCTCCAGGTGAATACCCCCAGCTCTCCCACCTGTCTCCAGAGCAGAGGGGCTCCAGCCTTTGATGCATCATTGTGGCCTCCTCTGGGCTTGCTTCAATATATCTACATCTTTCTTGGATGCCCCAGAGCTGGACACAGGCACTCCAGAGTACAGTAACTGAACTTCCTACCACCTCATTTATTCGCAAACAGACACTGACACAAACAATTAGTTCCACGTTCTTCTACCAACCTGGGTAACTCTGCACCACGCTCCTGGTGTAAATGAGGGCTGAGCCCTCTCAGCAGCGACAGCACCGCCCAGGCCAGACCTACCTGCCGGGTTGTGCCCCTGCAGCCAGAGTCTTCTGCGCCGCCACCACCACCACGGGCGGCAGCGACTCGCGGCGCCCGTCCCGGCCGCAGTAATAGTTATCGGCGAACTTGTGGCTGGGGCCCACCGGGAGCCGCGGCGGCGGCTGGGTCCTGGGCAGAGAGCATTCCGAGCATCAGCGGCGGCGCCCCGGCTCCGCTCCGCGCCCCGCCCGCCGCCCGGCCCGGCCCCGGCACCTCTTGGCGATCTCCCCGTAGCGCAGCGCCAGCTTCTCCTGGAGGTTCCGCTGCAAGGCAAGGCAAGGCCGGAGCGGCTCAGGCGGGGCGGCCGCCGCGCTGCGCCGGGGGCTCCGCGGAGCCGGTGGCGCAGCGCAGCGCCTCGCGGGGCAGGGGCTGCTCTCGGCCCCCCGGGCCCGGCGCTGTGCTCACCCCCGCCAGGAAGTTTCGGAGCTTTTGGATGATTCCCGTCGCCGTCGCCATCTTGGGCCGCCGTGAAGGGCAGCGCCGCGGGGGGCGCCGGGAGCGCGCGCGGGGCGCGCTGGGTCTCGCGAGACTCGGCGCTATATAAAGCGGCGCGGGGAGGCACCGCCCTTTTCTGCGCGGAGCCGCCATGGACACGAGCCGCGTGCAGCCCATCAAGCTGGCCAGGGTGGGTGTGAGGGGCGTCGGGGGGCCCGGGGTGGGTGTGCGGAGCTTCGGGGGGCCCAGGGGGGCCGCGCGGCCGCGCTGACCCTCCGCTCTGTCCCCGCAGGTCACCAAGGTGCTGGGCCGGACCGGGTCCCAGGGGCAGTGCACGCAGGTGAGCGGGCCGGGCCGGGCCGGGCGGGTGCGGGGGCCGGGCCCGGCCGGGCTGACGCGGTGCCGCCCCCGCAGGTGCGCGTTGAGTTCATGGACGACACGAGCCGCTCCATCATCCGCAACGTGAAGGGCCCGGTGCGAGAGGGAGACGTTCTCACCCTGCTGGAGTCGGAGCGCGAGGCCCGGCGGCTGCGCTGAGCGGGACCTGCCCGAGCGCCCGACCCTGGGCCGTCCATCGGGGGATGGAGCCTGTCGACCGTCCCTGCATCGTCCGTCAGGGGATGGAGCCTGGCGGGTGGGGAGGAGCGTGGCGGTGTTGTCACTGCAATAAAGGGTTTTTCCAGTAGCCCCGTGCCCGGGTCTCACTCAGCGAGTGCCTGGGAGCTCTGTCTCATACCTGAGCACCTGCCGCTTTCCTCGGGCTCAGCAGGGACAGCAGCACGCCCTGCTTGTTGCTGGGGTTGCATGTAATGCATTCGTTGTAATATCATTGCATTATTGCATCTTTATTGACCTGTCACAGCAAAAATAACCGTGTTTTGATTACAGCAGCCTTAATCCTGACCTTCCTGGTAAGCAGTTTTCTCTGTGTAATAGTGAAGTGGTGTCGGAAACTTATGGGACCTCAGTGGAATTTAATCACAAGTTGGAAATCAAGCTTGGTACCAGCTTGCAAAGCAACAGCCTGCTGCTTCTGTCTGTCTGTCCTCAGTAAGCTGTTTTCCGAATGCTGCTATAAATACACCTACTTGCTGTCCTTCCTGTCAGTCACATGCAGAGAGCAAGTGCTTGTCTCTCCCCTTTGATTTACTGACTCCTCTATCTCACTTTCTTCAGCTTTCCCCTCCACCACAAGATCAGCTAGCAAGATGTATTGCTTTAGGATATTACATGAAGCAAAAGTATGGCTGAAAAATTTAGGAATGAGCCTGAAAACTATCCTGGTTCAAGGGCTGGCTTTTAAGGACTGGTGTTTTTCTGTCAGCTTAGAGTAGTCCTGGTTTGTGGTGTGTTTAAGCCAAGTCAAGTCTGCAGCCCCTGGTCTGTGATCTCTGATGTGTTCTTTGTCCTGCAATGTCCTGAGCTTGACTGAGGCAGGTCAGTGGTAGTGTGACTGAGAGTCTGGGTGTCCTACAGCTGAGCAGAGCACTGCTGGGACAGATGTACAGATTGCTAAACTTGAGCAGACAATGATGATTGCTGTAGGGCTGGTGTTTAAGAGTATTTGTGGGATTTTTCCCAGGTGTTAGTTATGCCCTGGGCAGCTCATGGGCAGCCTGAGGTGAATTTTGTGCCCTGGAGAAAGCCCTTGTCAATGTGCTCACGATGTTGCTCAATGTGGTTCTTTTTTGGGGTTGTTTCAGTTTTAGAGCATCACACAAGGCTGTCTCTGGTTTGTGGGATGCAGCAGAGCTCAGAACTGGCCCTGAGTGCCAGAAGTCCTCAGAGTTTACATCTCTGGCTGCTGTTTGTTCCCTCACAGCCTCAGCAGTGACCCAAGAGTGTTTGCTCTGGCCCCTGCCAGCCCTGACTGCTGGGTGACTGGGACAGGAGCCACCAGCTGGGAGTTGCAGCCAGACAGAGGGAAACCTTGTAGTGGGGGTGTTTCAGGGCTGTATCCCTGTGGTCCCTGTCCATGTGAGGAGGGAGGTGATTTGCATCCCCACACTCAGTGTGGTGATTGCCCTTAATGATGCAGCACCACAGAGAACCAGGGCTGGTGAAGGGCTGTGGCTGGTCCCTTGTCCTGTTTTTCCTGCAGAGTGAAAGGGGCAAAGACACCACTGCACCTGCCCTGGGACGGTTCTGCGGGAGGAAAACCAGACTGAGGGATGTAGTCAGTGCATAAACTTGAAGGGAATGACTTGGAATGTGGAGGCTGTGCCTCCACTGCAGCTCTCGGGGGCTTTATCATGACAAGGAGGCAGGAGACCGCTGGTGATCACTGTAATATTTCAAAATAACTTTAAATTTTATTTATATCTTAAAAATAAACACCAGTATTAAAATAGCAGTAAACAGAGTAGTGTATTAGAGAGTGGCAGTGAGCGCTGTGTATAACTCCAGTGCAAAGCTGAGACGGGCCCACGAAGAGGGCAGCAGGGTGGTGCCCAGAGTGAGTTCTGAGGGGGATGTTTCCCAGCTCAGAGCAAGCCTGGCAGGGGCAGAAGTTAGGGGGAGGCTGGGCCAAGGAGCAGGAATGGGGGCTGTGACAGGTTTACTTTTGTGAAGGGCTCAGAGCAGAGCTGCTTTCCCATGCAAAACCCTTTTTCCTCCTGGTCCTTATCCTTACCCTGTTCCCACCCCACATAGTACTCATACACTTGCAAAGACACACATGTTCTCTGACATACGTGTTCCCCCTCTACAGGCCCTACCTGTGTGCTCTGAGCTCTTCTGGCCCATCTGTTTTTCCTGATACTCCTCCCCTTTGGGATGGAAAGTGGGCAGAGAGGGACTGGGCTGTGGGCTCTGGCTGTTTGCATAGTCTGTGGGACTGGTTAAATGGGGAAATGTTTAGGAGGCAATTGCTTTCTTTCCTTTGGGAGAAGGACCCCATGTGGGGTATTAGCTGGGCAGGCTCAGTCCCCAAACACGTCCTTGGCCCTAAGCCCCTTCTGTCACTTGGCTGCAGCCCCAACTGCTCAAGAGGTTTTGCTCCCATTGAACAAATCAAATCCCGAGTGATTTCATGTGGAACTCCATCCTTTGGCCAAGCAGTATAATTTTTTTGCTTTGTGTGCATGTGCTAGAAAAAAGAAAAAAAAACAGATTTCAGCCAGGAAAGGAAATGGCAGAAAAGAAGGGCAGCAAGTATGTCAGACTGGAAGTGCTCCCAGCCCACGTCCAAGGCAGCGTTGACCATCTGGTGTCCCCTCTCCCAACGTCCTGCACAGCACTGTGACCCTGCTCAGGGCCAGGAGTGTCACTCGCCCTCCTGGCTCTGTGTCACCAGCACTGCTGCCTTCTCGGGGCTGCCAGAGAGCACAAACCAGGGGCTGGTTCTGCTGGGTTTGTTCTCTGCTGTTCCCTCCTCGCAGAGGGCTCGGAGGCAGTGCAGCTCTGGTCATGGCAGGGAGCAGAGGGGATGGGGTGACTTCTGCTCTCTGCATGTCCCATCCCGAGGTCACTCGATGCTTGGCTCCTGTCACTTGGTGCAGCGAGGTGGCCACGTGTGGGTGGAGACGGGCAAGGGAGGCTCAGGGACAGCGCTAGTGACAGGACTAAAGCTGCAGAGGGCAATTTGGCACAGAGGGGTGGCAGGTGAGGGAATCACAGCCCAGTGCTGATGGTGGCTGCTGGCTGGATCCCAAGGTCACTCTAATTTGGTTTCTTTGGACTCCCAGGGCTCTTCGTGGCTGTCGGTGATGCCGCCTGCTGCAGAGAGAGCAGTCACAAAATGTCACCAGAGATTCCTCCAGTGACTCCTGGTCAGGGCCAGCAGGGCTATTCTGAGCATGTGGCACCTGGAATGCTCTGCTCTTGCTCCTGCAGCCCCTTCCTGGAGACCCTCACCTGTGCCACGGCCCTGTCCCCTCCCCTGGGGCGACCTGCCCACCTGAGTGTGGGACATGGCAGGAGCCGGGGCAGTGGTGTGGGACAGGGGCAGTGGTGTGGGACAGGGGCAGTGGTGTGGTACTCACGGGCAGCTGAGCCTTCGTGCCATTGAGGTGGGCGTAGAGGAGCGCGGCGATGTCGCTGTGACCGGCCTCCAGCGCGATGGCCACGGCGTTGTTACCATCCTAAAAAGGAAGGGAGAGCACGTGGGAAGGGGTGTGGGGACAGGACACGGCGTGGGGCTGCCCAGGCCCGGCGGCAGAGCCTTACACTGTCCACGATGGAGACGTTGCAGGCGGGCTGAGCCAGCAGCAGCTTCACGGTCTCGGCGCGGCCGTGCTCGCAGGCGCACATCAGCGCCGTGGAGCCCTCCTCGTCCTGCAGGTTCACGTCGGCCCCACAGGCCAGCAGGGCCTCCACCATCTCCTGCCGGCCGTGGCTCACAGCCAGCATCAGCGCAGTCTGGCCAGCCTGTGGGGAAAGGACACTGCCAGGCCACCCCTGCCCCTGCTGTGCCACCCGCTTGTGCCCCCTGCCCTGCAGGGCCGCTGCCGAGAGCCCTGTGCCAGCCAGGAGGAGCTCCTAAGGTGATGCCCTCCCCGTGTGCTGACCCCTCCAGGTTTTAGAGCCACGGTCCTGCCCTTGGAAGGAAGAGCTGAGCGTGGCTCTGGCAGCTGCTTGGGGGTGTGGGCAGAGGGGTGGGATGTGGTGGCCCCCAGCCCGTGCCAACCTGGCTGGCCTTGGCGTTGACGTTGCCCATGCTGAAAAGCCTCCGGACCACGTTCATGTCGTCCTCCTGCTCGACAGCCGCCAGCGCCGCCAGCATGAGGGCGGTGTACCCGGCCTTGTTCTGGTGGTCCACGTTACAGATCCCTGCAGGGGTGGGCAGAGGGGGCTCAGGATGCTGGAGGGCTGGTGAGAGACATGGACCAAGCCATGTGCCTGGCTCCTGCCCTGCCTGGGTGCTGTAAGCCATCCCACAGCCCTGTGGGCACAGAACTGCTGATGGGTCTCCCCTCTTGAAATCCAGGCTCTCACCCCCCTACCCATGCACAGGCACAAGCCTGGGCAGTTCTCCCTGCCCCTCTGCTCCAGCACCTTCCCCCTGTGCCTGGCAGGCCACGTGGGATGTGGCCTGGGGGTGGGGGGCACTGACCC